GATCTGTCAATTGCAAAAGGCAGCTTTACTTGAAATAGTTTACATCCTACAACGATACCCTTAAGATCATTAAACAACTTTGAGCCAGTGAGACTCGAACCGCCAAACTGCTGGCAGCCAGCAGTCAGTAGTACTGCATTCTAAGTACCACACCACCATGGCTCATGATGATGATGATTTATCACACAGTCAGCCGAATGTTCAGACTGTATTTGATATTTTTAGCCACCTATGGAGTCCTTACCAAGGACCTGGGATTGGCAGTTTCCAAGATCTTAGGATAGGCAAATGTTGTTTAATGATCTTAAGGGTATCATTGTAGGATGTAAACTATTTCAATTAAAGCTGCCTTTTGCAATTGACAGATCGTGATTTGCTTTCAAACGGTGCTCCACATGTTTTGGGTTTGCCCAAAGGTGGCTGTTACTATTGGTATTAACTCAAGATAGGTTACATAATACTCGTCCTGTAAGATGTGTTGGACTGAGAGAAAATGAATGGCTCAAGGATATTCAGCCACCTTTTTTGCCTAAGGGGAATGTAGCACTGATAGTCTCTTGATTTCTAGTCCTATACCCCAATTACTAGACAAAATTGGCTGTTGGTTTAGTTTAATCTGAGCTTAATCTATAGATCTTAACAGAATGTTTAAAACATCCAATCAATGTGAGAGATTTTTAACTCTAGAATTAAACTTATTGAAACATTTACGTTTGACAAGTGTAAACCATATAAGTTAGCAGTTGCTAATATATTTTGTAGGAATCTTTGCAATATCACCTACTAAAAGTACTTTCTTACTCTGTTACAGACTTATATCGGGAGTGTGGTGATATCCATAAATCCATATAGATTGCTTCCAATTTATTCGGCAGACAAAGTAGAAGAATACAGAAACAGAAATTTCTATGAACTGAGGCCTCACATGTAAGTATAAGGCTGAAGCTTTCCATCCATCCTGTTCTTTAACCAACATAGGTTATAGATAGAAACAGCTGTTTCCTGTAAGAAGGAGAATGTGTTTGATCTATTGTGCCTTTGATTAGCACTTAGGATATGGTGTATCTGCAGCTTGTTTCTCCCCCCCAAGGGAGGAAATCTGGATATTTATTCAATTAAAGTTTTAGAATGTGTTTTTTTAGTTGAAGAAAGTTATTTTCTAGTAATATCTTAGACCAGAATTGGATTATATAGCAGATTCTTTCATAGGCCACTAATATTATCACCTAATCTCTCCAGGTAAAAAGACCAATATTGGGCATATTTTGCATGCCTTTGTGATTCATTTCCTTCATATTTTTCATTAGTATTTTTTTATTCTATATAACTCTTGAACAACACAGTACTCTTACAGTGGCCATATTTTCATATCCAGCAAGTAGCATGGAGTAGAACTAGACAGGTAGACACAAATATGTAGCTTTAGATAATTTTCCTCAATAAATGATTTCACAAATATAATGTTGACCCTCTTGTTCTCTTTATGTACTTTTAGGACGTGTGTGGAGAATAGGTCATGTCTTATATCATATTTATATAGAAGAATTGAAAAGGCTTCACAAACTTTTAAGCTTCATTGTAAATATACAATTAGTTAACTTTGCTTATAGCCAGTTTTCCAGTGACCTGAAAGAAGTAAAAATCTTCTGCTCTGAGAGCAATTACTTGCAAACTGTACCATCTAGATGTGAACCAGAGAGAGGCTTGGATCTCCATTCATGTAGACAGGGAAATTATTGTTGTTAACTTCCTCTTCAGCTGCAGCTGTCTACATAATCTATGATAGCATTTCCAGGAGCAGAATATATATATATATATAAATAAATATATATAAATAAATATATATAAATAAAT